AAAAAAAAACTGCCTTATGCCTTTATTGTTTTGTTTGCCCAGGTGGTTGACTTGGATAAAGGGTTTCTAATGAACCAGGATGGAAAAATTCTTCAGGATTCCCTAGGCAAACCCAAAAGAGTGGTCCTTGGAGAGGATGGGCGTACCATTTTTGGTACTGTGCTTTGGTTTTTGTTTGTTTGTGTAAAATTTAAAGTTCAAAATGTGAATAATGTACTCAATAAAATCTAGACAGTAGTTTAAAAAGAACATAACCAAATTGCATTTACCTTCCATTTAGCAAATGTTTTTAATTTAAATAGGTTGTAAATTAAAAGTATGATATACATGTGTGCTTAATTAGCATTGCTGAAAGGCTCATTAATGATTTCCTCAACTGAGATTAAGTTATAAATATCAGTTTTACTCTTCTGCTCCCCAACCATGTGCCCACAGACCACATGGGCAGTCCTTTGGTGAGTCAGGAAGGCATCGCTCTGTTTGGCCATGGCAGAGACAGCCAGTCTGTGGTAAACCCCAAAGAAAAGCTCCTCACAGTTGGAGGAAAACCTGTTCTTGGTTTGAACGTGGTTCGTCCCAGGACTATCATTACCACAACCACAAAAGCTCCCACTACCACCTCTGAGCCCACCACCACTGCATGGCCCACAGAGGAGTTTAGCACCGCTCTGCCATACCCAACCTGCCCACCCGGAACCTTCTCCAAAACAGATGAATATGGATATCCCATTTTGGATCCAGAGGGGATTTTGGACTGTTATCCAGAAGGTGAGTCAAAGCGGTTATCACACAAAATAAAAGTCCAAATTGAAAATTGTGCTAAATGAATGAAATGTACTGTAGCCCTCCCTTTTAAAATATTGTTTAGGTTCTTCATTGAGCAGAAGCAGATTCAAGAGACAAAATAATGAACATAAAGAAGTATGATCTCACTCATTTTCCCTTGTAGACATTTGGGCTAAATGTGTGGGTGTTTATTTATCTGTTCCAACATTGACTTATTATTCTCTCTTTGTGTGGGGGGTTGTGAGAGCAAGAAAGCTCATTGTCATTAGTATTATCATGCATATACATGCATAAACATGCAGCCTTTACTATTACTGCAGACACAGTTGAGAAATTGAATTTAATTCATGTACTGTGATGCTTAAAACTCTTTACAATTCATTTTGTTGTTACTATGTTGTGGTGTGAACTTCAAATGAATTGTGAAATTGACGCTGCAGCGTGTTCTGCTTCTCTGACAGAGGACGCCTCAGGAATGGAAATGGACTTCATGCTTACAGTGTCCATGGTGCCTGATGCTTTAGCTCTTGAGAAAGGTATTGGCTGAGTTTGGCTTTGGACCAGTCTATCACCATGGTGTTGGAATAGACTCAACTGCGCTGCACGCTCGTTGTTCGTTGACTGTTACAATGCACTATTTGTTTGTTGCGTGTTTATTCGTAGTGCATTCGCTTGCCAGCTATTTCCCTTCTTCCTTAGTCTTGCCTGTGGTCTTCATGTTGTTCCTTCTTTTGGACGGTTGGCTTGCTTGGTCTTGGTTCATCACTGTGGTTTTGGATCATTTCTGTTCTAGGCTGTTTTCAATCACTTTTATTCCAAAAACCTCACTGCATTACTAAGCTAGAGAGAATGCTTTTGCTTAAAACTTCAATGTTCTGTTTAAACATGGCTTTGTTATATGTAAACTGTGGCCTCAAACAAGCACTAGATGAATTAAAATATAAAAGCTTCAAGAACTGATTGATGTTAGCATTTTCATTTTAGTGCTTTACTACCTATGTTGGAAAGCCTCAAAAAGTATTTATATTTTTTAACAAATATACGTAAAATATTTTCATAGTCTATTTCCTCACATTGCACTTAGCTGGCGGCATTTGTGTGGACCATGACCTAATGCCAAGGTCCACTGGTGTAGCACGAGACAAAAACTGTAATGAACGAGGAAAGAGCTCATAAAATTTCACCCACTGAGGCTACACATCTGTATGATTTGGAGACATGAAATGGTCGTTGTCACACATGGAAAATATTGGTAGCAAAAACACAGCTTGGACTGTTGCTTTCAAAGTGAGCCCACACATCTGTTCTCAATTAATTAAACAACTCTGACATCCCTATTGCACAATTATATTGAGCATTACAGAGGGTGAATGAAACTCAGAAGCTTATTATTAAGTTATGGATCAATTACTGTAGATCTGTTAATCAGATTTTTTTAACATGTCTGTTTTTTGGAAGAAATGTTCATAAAAACCACACTGCTGCCAACCACTTCTACCACCACTACGACTACTACCACCACAACTACCACCACACCGATCCCACATCCAGACACGAGAGTGGTCAACAAGGGTCCTTTATCTGAGTTTGATCTCACTGGAAGGAAGCGCTTCACAGGTACTCATCATCCATCAGTAATTAGTTACTCTCTGTGTTCTTGTGTTCTTTTGCTTGTGTTGCAATTTTCAAACTTTTCTTTTGTGACAGAAAACTACATCCCAACAGTTAGGCTTGCTTGATTTTTCAGTGAATTGTTGTGAAGATCTATGAAGATCACACATAACATATGCAGAGATGATGTGTCATTTTGTTTACAATAAATTTTAATTAAATTATGTTCTGTCTTGATATCATTAAATGAAGGATTGTTTTTTTTGCAGTTTCCAGGTTAAGCTGCATTCAGTGGTCCACAATAATTGTAGTGTTAAAACTCATACATATATATATACATACATACATATATATATATATATATATAT